AAATATACGTTCGTAAACTAGATGTTAGTTTTGAAACTTAAGACAACTCAAATATACTCTTCAAAAATAGATATCAGCTTATGAAACTTAAGACAGATAAAATATACGTTCGTAAACTAGATGTTAGTTTTGAAACTTAAGACAAATCAAATATACTCTTCAAAAATAGATATCAGCTTATGAAACTTAAGACAGATAAAATATACCCTCCAAAACTATATGTTAGTTTTTGAAACTTATAACAAATAAAATGTACCCTCCAAAACTAAATGTTAGTTTTTGAAACTTAAGACAAATAACATATACCTTCTAAAACTAGATGTTAGTTTTGAAATTTAAGACCGATAAATAATGATTACATTAAATTGTTCTTCGAGTATACGTTTATTCAGTTCCTGACGACAGTTAGATTATAAGCTAAAGTGCTTGGTTCACTTTGAAACGTTTATTTTAGGCTTCTGACAAAGACGAGGGAGGGAATGCTTTGATCAAGTACACCATTGTCCGAGGAAATGACCACCACCTTTTTGAAATGGACGAAGAAACGGGAGTTCTGTACACAACTAGGAAGCTGAACTATGAAGAACAACCGCAGTATAGTCTCCAATTAATAGCAAGAAATCCGAGGACCTTTCAAGGACCCAAAGCGTCTACAATCTCCAATCCTGTGGTGACTCTGGTTGTTAAAGTTCAAGTAAGAAATATGATATTTACTGGTCAAGAAAAGTTCCAATCGATAAAAGTAAATCCAAATTTTTATCTATATCGTATTTTCCTTTCTTGGCTTAAACTCAGCGCTAATCATTTTAATAGGGCGTGACCTAGTGGCTAGCGTACCGGATTGTGGATCCGATAATTCATGGTTCACGTCCCCCCCCCAAAAAAAATCACTCTCCACATTTTAGGGCCGGGGTGCGTCACAACAGTGATGCTCCAATTCCACATTCGGATATAGTAGCCCAAGAGTTGAGAATTCATGGTTCATGTCCCCCCCCCTAAAAACAAAAATCACGCTCCACATTTTAGGGCCGGGTGCGTCACAAAAGTGATGCTCCAATTCCACATTCGGATATAGTAGCCCAAGAGTTGTCGATGGGTATAATAAATTAGCTACCTTTCCATTAGTCTATGAGTTCACAATTAGGAACAGCAAGTACAGACAGCGCCCTCGTGTAGTTTTGCTCGAATATCCGAAACAAATCATTAGAAGGGGAAATGAATTTTTGAGGTTGAGTTTATAAATGGACTTTCTACAGATCTTTTTCGTTTTGTTGTACAGGTTTATATGGGCTGTGTTTGACGGCCTGGCCTCATGATAAGACCCAGTACGGTGTTGTCACACTCACATATATAGACTGTTATTTGCATTAGTTAAATTACCAAAAACTCAAATCTGGATACGACAGTTATCCGAATCCACTCTCACAATGTTCTTCTTCGCTCTTTCCACTTCCTTAAGATGACTTCCTTAACTACTGTGGATTTTGTTTGTTTGTTTGTAACTAAGCACAAAGCTACACAATGGGCTATCTGTGCTCTGCCCACCACGAGTATCGAAACCCGGATTCTAGCGTTGTAAGTCTGCAGACATTCCGCTGTGCCACTGGGGGGCAATGGATTTTGTTCAGTTAGAAAGATGGCGTCATTACTCTGTTGTGAGAATAAAGACGAAAAAGCGCGTCTCGTGCGTCTAATGCTCAGTGGCTACACTCACGTGGTGTGTAAGGGACGTATATGTTTCACAGCATGATTTGTGACGTTGGGATTAGAAGAGGGATTATTGAGAATCTCAGCACGACTCTGTTGACACACTGTAGGAAAATATGAATGTCTATATGAAATATTTGTACTCTTAGAGAAACGATAGATATGTAAGACTTTTCTTTACATGGACAGTCTGTGTATGAGCTACTATACTGTCTTGGTATGAGCTACTACGCAGTCTGGATATGAACTATTATACTGTCTGTGTATGAGCTACTATACTGTCTTGGTATGAGCTACTACGCAGTCTGGATATGAACTATTATACTGTCTGTGTATGAGCTACTAGACAGTCTGGATATGAGCTACTAGATGGTCTGGATATGAGCTATTATACTGTCTTGGTATGAACTACTAGCCAGTCTGGATATGAGCTACTATACTGTCTTGGTATCAGCTATTAGACAGTCTGGATATGAGCTACTAGATGGTCTGGATATGAGCTACTAGACAGTCTGGATATGAGCTACTATACTGTCTTGGTATGAGCTACTAGACAGTCTGGATATGAGCTACTATACTGTCTGTGTATGAGCTACTAGATAGTCTGGATATGAGCTATTATACTGTCTTGGTATGAGATACTAGACAGTCTGTGTATGAGCTACTAGATAGTCTGGATATGAGATATTATACTGTCTTGGTATGAGATACTAGACAGTCTGTGTATGAGCTACTAGATAGTCTGGATATGAGCTATTAAACTCTACTAGTCGAAATCAGGTATCATTATGATCACTAGGCCTCACCTGGATCATAATCTAAAGTACATATATTTTTTATTTCAAACGGGAGTTTTTCCAGATGAATTTAGTGACCCGATTTTCTCCACCTCTCGGTTATAACTGAAAACATCAAAGCTGGTGTGATCAACTTAATGAAACATTTTATTTGGCACTGACATGTAATCTGGATTTTTGTTAATAAGATCCTAAACTGTAATCTTCCTTTAATTTATGTTTACTTCAGTTACGTTCCATCACATATTGTTTAGGTTGCGCCGATCTGTTGTCGTTGGTCTTCTGGAACATATGGTGGACGGTTCATTCAGTACTCGCTTATAGAATAGGTTGATAATAGTTTTGTAAAAACGTTATAAAAGTTTTTTTTTAGATAAAAAAAACAACAACAACTTTACACGAACGTAACTTAAGCAGAGTTTCTTAATTCAACTCCTCCGTGTAACTTTTCCATCAGGACATCAATGACGGTGCTGTTGTTTTCACCCAACCATCCTACCATTATGGGATCTTGGAGACAACACCACGTGGGGAGACCGTGGGGTTTGTGAATGCAACAAACTTTAGCCAAACCCCTCAAGATCAGAACATCATATACTGGCTCAGGAAAGGAAACAAAGACGAAAAGTTTTGGGTGAATCCCACATCTGGAGCTCTGGTCTTGATGGACTCTTTAGATAGGGATCCTCCAGCAAATCAAACGCATTTCACGCTTGAGGTGAGTTAACCAACTTTGGGTTTGGGTTAAGGCTTGGTATTTAAGGCAAGCGTATTAAAAATATTTACCATACCGTAAAATTTAGTGTGAATTTTACTTGTCCAGGATCTTCGACTAGTTTCTTTGAGATTCATTCTCCTGTAATTTTCAATTTTATAAGTAAAAAATAAATGAAGTTTTCCAATCGATTTGCAAACATCAAATCTTGCTTATATATTTAAATGTAACTCTTTGCAGGTCTAAAAAGAAGTCAAAGAGAGTTCGGTGTGTAATTGGTTCAGTGATATGAACTTTTTTTTAAATATTTTAGGAGTAAAAAGGGCTAAATAGTGTCAGTTGTGTAAATGGTTTCAGTAAGAAGGACATCTCTATTTACAGATGTAAAAAATATCTAAACAGAGTCAGATATGTAAACAGTTCAGTAATATAGACATTTCTCGTATTTCTTGCGTAAAAATGAGAAAACGAAATCAGGTATGTATTGTTCAGTAATATGCACTTTTCGCTATTTTCAGGTGTAAAAATGCTAAACAGGGACAGGTGTGTAAATGGTTCATTAATAAAGACATATCTATTTTCAGGTCTTTGCTCGTGACACTCTGTCAGTTAATTCCTTCAACACTAGTGTCGAGGTTAAGATTCAGGTCATTGACGTTAACGACAATGCACCAACATTTGATGAAGGTAAGCTGTGATCGTGTTTAATTCTGTTCCTTAGTTGATTACTTTAGTTCTTAACACACTAAAACTACCACAGTTTCCAGGTTTTAACGCGTAAGGAACATTTGATAGAGGATCAATGCGTTAACGTATTCATTTATTTGTGGAATTTGCCCCTCCATTCGATTTAAACCTTTATATTTCATCTTATACAGCTTTACAAGTTTCAAGATTGATACGTCACTGAAGGCAATGATAATAGATATTATCAGGCCTAACAAATTAACTAACACTAGATATTATTATGTATTAGGCCTAACAAGTTAATTAACACTAGGTATTGTTGTTATCTATCAGGCCTAACAAATTAACTAACACTAGGTATTGTTGTTATCTATCAGGCCTAACAAGTTAATTAACACTAGATATTGTTATCTATTAGGCCTAACAAGTTAATTAACACTAGGTATTGTTGTTATCTATCAGGCCTAACAAATTAACTAACACTAGGTATTGTTGCTATTAAATAGGCCTAACCAGTTATCTAACACTAGATATTGCTTTCATTTATTCCTCACTTTGCTTAACTATAAACCTTTCTACATCACATATATATAAAATAACAATACGTATTTCTCTGGAAGCTATATTTCTAACGTAAATTCCTCTTTGAAACAATAAGAGAAATAATTTATTATGTTGGTACTAAAAGTACTAAACCAGTAACAGTTGCCTTGTTTCATTCACATCCATGGTTCGCGATCCGTTAGCACAAGTCCTGCGGAAACTTTAAGACATCATATTTTATTCCAGGGTGGTAAACGCTTGTTTTCTATGTCTAACAAAATTCCTTTCATAAGGACGATGAAAAATACGATAATTAAGGTCGTAACTGAAGCCTAACGTTGTATACTACTCACTGACCAAACCAATAAAAATATCTCAATAGTTTATTTGTACAAAGAAAAAGTCTACTCTTGCTAAGCTATCTGTCGTTTTCTTTATTCTGTGAACTGACAATTTGTCATATTATATTAAAAAATTGGTTTTAATATAAAACTTTAGGAATGATGAACATTTATTAAACAGGTGTTGTAGTGCTTTGAAATACGTTTTAATTTCGAAACGTGTATTTTTAAAAATTCATTTTTGTTTCTGCTGTTAATAAACTTTGTGAAAATCGATGTTTATTACTTCAAAGGTATTTTTTAATGATAAAGATTTGGAACTGTATGCTGTGTTCTGTTAAAACGAAACGGACGATGTTAATTAAAATCTGCCCTGAGAAACAGCGCCCTCCGTTGGCAAAAAATAACTTTACATCGTCTGTCAACGAACGAAATACTCAGTATTGATTAATAAGTTCGGTAACTAAATTGTTTTTTCTCCCAAAACATTCTTCACGTTAGTGAATAAGATCCAGGAATCTATCAGATCCATAACATACACATTTATAAAAAATCCTTCCCTGACTTTTCATCCTCAGCAGATTGAGATATATATTAATTGGATAAAATGAATATCATTTTTGTTCTGTATTACTAACATGTGCAGGAGTATTTTAAACCGTTCTTATGTCTGATTATTTTTCTCGTGTGTTATCGATGGGAAACACTTCGATATATAAACGTAAAAAATATAATTATTCTTAGAACAACCACGAACCAGTTAACTAATACTGACAATGAGAGAGTTTAAAGCCGCCACTGTTTCGGTAATTTTGCGTTTTTTTTTTCTTTAAGAGAGGTACTCCTTGAAACTTCCAGAAAATCTCTCGCCTGGAAGTCAACTTCCACTGTTCTACCATGCCCAAGACATCGACTCCGGTGTTAACGGAAAGATTGAAAAATATTTCACTGATAAGTTACAGGTTAGTCAGAAAAACTTCTTCTCTTATTCTCTAAATGTGTTTCCCTCCCGTGAAACCGAATATTTTTAAAAGATGTCGCTTCTTGCAGTAGTTCATTAACAAACAACGATTATTAATCGGTCTTTATTAATTCGTTTAATTACATTTTTCGTAAGACATTAGTATTATATTATATATTTTTAACACTTTAGTCTTTATTCAGTCCCATAGGGGTTTTTTATGAAGGAGAAGAGTGAATAATAATAGTATTTCAACCACATTATATTCGCCCAAAACGTTGCCGACGACGCGTTTCGCTCAACCCAGAGCTCATCAGATCGACTTGGATACAACAAACACAGTAGTGGTCGGAGACCGTGTTAAAAACCATAATAATCATCATACCAATGTATTATTATAAATGTAATTAATTATAATCATTCTTTACAGCTTATAAATGACATTTATACAATAAGAATTGTTGTTATCAATTTACTACTGGATTAACGTAATATGCCTCCCTACACATGAAGCGATCGTTACTTTATAACGCCAGAAAGAAACTGAAATAGAATGTGGCTACCATGGACGAAACTGAAACAAACTAGTGTAAATAAGTTTGCCAAACTATTTTGTGTGGTAACCATGGACGAAACTGAAACAGCTACATTTGCTACACTTTCTGTGTTAATTAATGACAAAACCGAAACAGACAGGTATAAATAAGTTTACTACATATTCTGTGGTGACTAGGAACGAAACTAAAACCGACTTGTTTAAGTAAGTTTACCACATTTTATGTGGTGACTAGGAACGAAACTAAAACCGACTTGTTTAAATAAGTTTACTGTACATTTTCTGTGGTGACTAGGAACGAAACTAAAACCGACTTGTTTAAGTAAGCTTACCACATTTTCTGTGATGACTAGGAACGAAACTAAAACCGACTTGTTTAAGTAAGTTTACCACATTTTATGTGGTGACTAGGAACGAAACTAAAACCGACTTGTTTAAGTAAGCTTACCACATTTTCTGTGATGAC